ATGAACACTGAATTAACTAAAGTTAGGACCTGGGTAATACGTGATAAACTGACCTTAAACCTCGAAAACCCCACTGCATAATCTTTCACAGAAGGAAAAACTCACCCCAGATTTGGACCCCTGTACCTTAGTAATACAGCCCTCAAACGTGAACAAAATACTAAATTCCTTTGGGTTATTGTTGATGAGAAATTTGGCTGGAGAAATCCACAGACAAACCATTCACAGTAAAGTCAATACACAGTGAGGTATCCTGGATCACACTCGTCAGTAACTCATTCTTGCAGCAATGAAATAAATTTATTATGATCTTGTTTGCCAACACTTAATACACTGTCACACACTAAGGGGGGCCTCTGGCTCTTCAAAAACACAACCTCTGATTACTGCACAAAAGAGAGTTAAGCGGAAAAAGACCTACTTGAAAAAAAAAAGACCACAATAACGAACAATTTGCTAAATTGAAAATGTTAACATTCGTGGATATTAACACCGACTGATGTGCCCTATTGTTTACAAATCTATCAATCACTTGATTGACAATAATTACTTCCAGTTCCGGAATAATCAGAGATACAACTTAAGATACCCAGAGCTACTAAGACCCCATGCGCTCCTCTCAGTCCCAGACCTCCGTAAAATATCACGGTGTGAAGGTGTGGCACAACTTACCCCCTCACACCCGAGCACATCCTTTAAATCATAAATAAAAATATCTATTGTCTAAGTATTAATATTTTTATAATACCTACTGTTACCGCCACAGTAAGATAAACTAGAAGAGTGAGAGAGAGAGAGAGCCATAATAAGATAAACTAGACGAGAGAGAAAGAGAGAGGGTGAGAGGAGAGACAGTGTTGACGACGAATTTGCTGTTTTAAATATGAAATAGAAGGTCCTCGCTTAGGGCTACGATTGCCCACGGAGGCAGTATATCGTTCCCTGCAGGAAAGACAACACCTTTCGTCCACCTAACATATACCAAGAGGATATTACACCAGCTCTCGTTGGTCAAACCCTAGACCCTAAAACGTGAGTGTGATTGTGAACTACTAAACCATCTAAAAAAAACTCTAAATAACCTGAATAAGTATATTTATGTACTGTATTTTGATCATATTATACAAATTGTCTCCTAATGTATTAACAGTTGTAACATGCGAGTTATATTTAAGATGTTAACAGGCTATGTACTGTATATTGATGGTATTATTCATACTATGTGTCTTGAGATAGCAGCATTTGTTATATGTGAATTGTTCTTTAACAGGTTTTGACCGAATTATATGGTACGCGTCATCGTTATGGGTTTATTTCTCCAACAACAAATCAATAACATACTTTATATTCCTACCTTTATTATACCACCAAGACCGTTATATCATAAATTGCCATGTAGATAGATAAAAATTACCATGGCAATAATTATATTTGCCGACTAGACCTGATACTGACAGCTCTGTCTTCTTGCTCCACTTTAATACAACCCATGTTGTATTGTTTCCCTCCCTTATCATATTTATGTATATCAGCACCACTGTAAAATATTAAATTTTTTCAATTTCAATTGTTTATTCCTTGATAGAGGAAGCGGGATCCTAGTGCTGTCACTAGGTACCCCTGTACAATGACACCAGAAGCATCTGGCAAGTGTGACAAGTATTAAATATTATAAAGGGGCTTACTAAAGCCTAAGGAAGGAAGGATATTCCTTTAACACATAATCAATATTATTTACAAAATATCTGGCCAGTATGGGGAGGATCATCGTGTCTCCGTCAGGGAGTCGTGGAGTGTAAAATATGTATAAACTCATACAGTAATATACTGTAAATGTGAAAAAATATATATCGAAGTGATAACCGTGGTAACATTCTGATATGTTCGGATTACCACCATGGCATGTGTACTATTCCAGATGATACTTACTGTTAAATAATTCTTCCTTGAGATAAATGTACAGTATTATTTCAGGTGCCTTCAAGAGGGTTCATGCTCTCAGCTGGCTCAGCCATGTTAATATTGTTCTTATTATCGACTCTGTATCTGTATTTTTTTGGCCAAATAAATTGTTCCAATATCAATACAATCATTACATAGTGACAAATGCCTCTGAGTGGTGAAAACGACCAAGTGTGGTGAGTGAGGCAAATTGGTTGTCCCAGGAGAAGAAGCACCCGCCGCCACCCAGTTCCCGCCCTGTCTTAAGTAACTCAAGTTTTATAAGAGAGACGGCGGGTTCCCGTGTTCCCCTCGCCAGGCTTTCCACTCAGCTATCACCCGCTTTCTTTGTCAACTTTCAGTTGAGGAACCATGCAAAAATAAGAGATTCTATATTTAAAGTGGTGGTTCAGGCTGTGATTGGCTCGAGCTCGTGACGTCATCGTCTCATGAAGTCTTGTCCCCAGGCTGCCAACTAGGTGTATATTGTAAAGGTTTTATTTTTGTTACATTCATATATGTATTAACCACGTTTTTCAGCATTTTAATACTGGATAAAGTTATTAATCGTGAGAGTTTAATTAAAAGCTCTGGATGTAATAAGGATGGTATGTTAAAAGACCAGTGGTATTGAAGGCAAACTGTAGTGGGCCACGCCTATTGGCGGAGCGGGACGGCCACGCCTCCCAAGTTGCCGCTATATATACCGCAAAGCCGGCAGGTTCGTCACTCGCCGCTGAGTCGAGGAGAGGTTTGGACGGTACGTGCAGACAGCTCTCGCTAACCAAACTGACCTTTCTTTAACATTATCTTTCCAGTGTTGGTGGAAGAAAGTGGTGAATTTTTCAGTGACTGTAGTGGTTAAACGGTGCAGTTTCGAGAGTGGTGTTGTGCTTTTGTCCTTGTTATTAATTCCCGAAAGTGACGTGTTAATGGTCCCGGTCCATAGTGACGTGTGAAATTGTGATTATATATTAACTTGGATCGTTAGTTACTTAGTTGATATTGCCGCAATACCAAGAGGTGACCGTGTGAGCTAACATTGGTTAGTCGTAGAAAGTAATAGTGGTTGACTTTTGCAACTCGAAAGTGATTATTGTAACTAGGCTCGAGCCTCGGCGTTTTGTATACTGTACTCCCTTTTTAGCATTACTTGTTATAACGCAGATTACCTCATATTTGTTTGAGAATCGCTTGTCAATTTGTATAGAATTAAATTGCATTTTGTGGTAGCTGAATTTGGGTTTAATATTAGCTCGTAGATATTAAATTTGAAGAAACCATTATTACAAATACATTTTAGTTTAGTGAATCATACTTTAATAGCGCGAAGTTTTGAGTGTTGCATTTTTTCCTGAATTCGTGGCCTGTGTACGTGCCTTGAGTAAAGCTCAGCCGGTGGTGGGTGAAGCCGGCGTCCCGTGTAACGTGTCGCTGTTCTCTGGTAGCCACGACACGTTAACATTTAATAATTGTCACCAGGATTCTTTTTTACTTTAAACTTGATAAATTTCAGCATTTTAACTTTATTTCGCTTCGTTTAAGGTAAATCGGCGACTTGATAATTTGTTTACAATCTTAGTCACGACATGGCTCATGTGCTAAATATCGGGGTTAATAGGTGTAATATCGAGGTTGCCGGCTTTGGCGCCGCTGTCGGCTCGCCGGGTTGGCTGTGACGGGAGGGAGGACTGTTGTAACGATACTAGTTGAAGCCCGCGTGTTATTTAATTGTCAAAAACTTCCTTTAGAGAAAGGAGGGAAATTTGCTTCACCACTGCACTGGAGATGTATGTCTAAACTCCATTAACCGTCCTTGGAACTGTCGAGAGTAGCAGATATTGTGGTTGGTGGTGCATGGTAGGCTGGGAAGGTCACTCGGCGCCCTCCTGCATTAGCTAAAACAACAAGGAGCTGCAATTTGTGTACAATTAGGTTTATTACATTTTAGGAGTGATGGTGGTGGTAACGGCTTGCATTGAACGCTACACATCTGCTTTAATACCATTCTTCAATCCCCAGCCCCCCCCCCCTTCCCAACTCGCCAGACACGTAAAACTTTGTATTAGATCCAAGGATTCAGAGAATCCCAATCAATGTATGCCAGAAACTCTGCCCCTCCCTCTCCAGGGTGAAGTTTTTAAACCTTCCCCCCCGCCACACACACACACACCACCGTTGATGACTCACCGGGGAGGGAGGATGGGGGGTGCATACAATACACATTTAGCCGACTTGAAAAGACCACTACTACCCCTCTCGCTGTTAACTATCGGTAACCACAGCCGGTTTTTTAGGTACTTTAGTATTACTATATGGTCACTTTTATGCTGGTTTTCCTAGGTGAAACAAATGCCGACTTCCTGAAGAGTAAAGTAGATCACGGCTCGTAGTAAGAGAGGGTGGGGGACACGTAACGCCTATTGGTATTAGGCTAGTCATCTATAAATCGTGTATTGTGTAATATCTTCACATTTGGTAGATTACTAGTATTTTTTTTTAGTAATTTGGTACGCGATCGTCATTTCAAGTAACATGCTTGCCGGTTTTACTAATGCTTAAGTATGATAGGACTGATGAAATGGGAAAGAATAGTGGTGTGGATGGGCGACTGGTTTTGGTGATGTAAGGCCGGTTGTCACCCCCCACTCCCCTTCTGCTGCCCGTACCCAAAGACCTCGAACTTGATCACTGAAGCAGGTTGGGGGAGGGGTGGATAGTCGGCCCCTCCCCCACTGGGTAGAAGTATCTCTAGATAGGTGGTAGTAGAGGTCCTAATGGGTTTTAATGGCGTGAGATGACTGTTGTTGATAAGGTTGCGTATGGCAGGAGTGTTGAGGCGAGGTAATGGGGGGGGGGGTGAATCTGAATGTTGCAGCTAGTAGAATTAATGTGATGTAACTTCTTCGTATGCACGAGTGGACTGACTTGATTCTTAACACTAGTTTGCTTGTAAAATAGATGCTACTAGTTTAAGTTTGGCCATTTCGGTATAATATGGCTTCTAATCTAGGGATTCTTTGGTTCGAAGTTTAACACTTGTTTCTTGTTATCCACAGCCAGGAATCTTCGAGCACTAACATGGCTGACGCTGCAACCATCGCAAAGTTGGAGGAAGGCTTCAAGAAGCTGGAGGCCGCCACCGACTGCAAGTCCCTCCTGAAGAAATACCTTACCAAGGATATCTTCGACAGCCTCAAGGCCAAGAAGACTGGCCTGGGTGCCACCCTCCTCGACGTCATCCAGTCCGGTACGTGGCAAAGATCTAAAATCTGGTGGTTCTGGGGAAAACTGGGCGTGAGGTTTTGCTGGAACCTTTGTTATAGATTATTCTAGTGGTAGATCCTATATTGGTTGTACGAGACTACCTGTATGGCATAATCTCTTGTAGAGAATTTAGGTCGGTAACCTTGATCTAGATAATAATGATACAGTTCTTGGTGCTACACGCTGGGTGGACAACTGCCATCTTATTGCTTTATTAGAATGTTTGATCGTGAATTGTTAATCAAAATAGGGTTTTGAAGTTTACTGTTTTTCAATTGTTTCGTTTAACGTTTTTCGGTGTTCAATTTCTCTAAGAGAACTAATTCATTAAAGGAGATTGTCTTGATAGGTAGGAAAGCTCTTGGTCTCGTTTAATAGGCTTACTGTAAAACTTTATTGGGGAGTAAGTTAACGATTTTTTTTATCAATGGAACTAGTTTTAGAATATTATATAGGACGAGAATAGAGGCAATGTCTGAACCACCTTGTTGCAGTCGTTCATTGTGGGTGCCGAGGTAAGACACTGAAAAATGCCATTCATGTGATCTTATTTGACCAAACAATTTAAGTCATTGGTGCTGTTTGTGTAGGGATAAGCCATCATGAGGGGGAGGGGGGGGGGCTTGGTGGTGGTAGGATGGAAATGTGTTTTAAGTTGGTTTTAGAAAAGTGAGTATTCAATGTGACTAATGTTAGTAAATGAATAATAGAATTGGCGAATAATCCATGAAAGGCCTAGATTCCTCAAGTCCACCATGACCTCCGTATAACCGGAGTTTTGTGGACGCTTTTTTTTATACCCTTTGTTTACCCTAAATGAGAATGATTTAGATTGTGAAGTAAAACACCAAGCTAAAGTTTGTGACGCCCTGATGGGCTTGACCTAGTTGTGTAGCATGGGAAGGGAGGGGGTATTATGTAACTTTGATGAGGCCACTGGTAGTGGGGGTGGCAGTGAGGTGCACGAGCCTGGCCAAGAATCAATACTTCCACCAGCTAGCTCCCTGCATGTCCAGTCGCCCACAACTAGGGTGGGGGTACTGCACTAATGCTCTTGAATTGGCTAAAATCATTTTTATCCTATTTAAAGGGTTAAGTAAATTTGAATGGGTATAGGAGGATCAGTAGGTTAGTTATTTAATGAAAATTTTCATTCTTTTCAGGTGTGGAGAACTTGGACTCTGGCGTTGGTATCTATGCCCCTGACGCTGAGGCCTACTCTCTCTTTGCTCCCCTCTTCGACCCCATCATCGAAGACTACCACAAGGGCTTCAAGCAGACAGACAAGCACCCTGCCAAGGATTTCGGTGATGTCAGCAAGTTCATAAACGTGGACCCCGAGGGCACGTTCGTCATCTCCACACGTGTGCGATGTGGCCGCTCCATGGAGGGCTACCCCTTCAACCCCTGCCTTACTGAGGCTCAGTACAAGGAGATGGAGGAGAAGGTTTCTTCCACCCTGTCTGGCCTTGAGGGAGAGCTCAAGGGTTCCTACTTCCCCCTCACTGGCATGACCAAGGAGGTTCAGCAGAAGCTTATCGATGACCACTTCCTGTTCAAGGAGGGTGACCGCTTCTTGCAGGCTGCCAACGCTTGCCGTTATTGGCCCGCCGGCCGTGGTATTTACCACAATGATAACAAGACCTTCCTTGTCTGGTGCAATGAGGAGGATCACCTTCGCATCATCTCTATGCAGATGGGTGGTGACTTGGGCCAGGTGTACCGCCGTCTCGTTAGCGCTGTCAACGACATCGAAAAGCGCGTTCCTTTCTCTCACCATGACCGCCTGGGCTTCCTGACCTTCTGCCCCACCAACCTTGGCACCACCGTGCGTGCCTCCGTCCACATCAAATTGCCTAAGCTTGCTGCTAACCGCGAGAAGCTTGAGGAAGTTGCTGCCAAGTTCAGCCTGCAAGTGCGTGGCACCCGCGGTGAGCACACAGAGGCTGAGGGCGGTATTTACGATATTTCCAACAAGCGCCGCATGGGTCTTACTGAGTTCCAGGCCGTGAAGGAGATGCAGGACGGTATCCTTGAGCTTATCAAGATTGAGAAGGAGATGTAAGGAGTTAATGCTATAGTAAAGTTCGGCTCTACCCTCTATGGGTGAGGGCGAGCCGGGCTCTCCTGTAGAGGAAGGGCACCCCAACCCTGGACTCGGGGCCCTATAAGTGAAGGGCCTGGAGGGTGGGGGGGCTTACCGGCTGAGTGAGTCACTGTGAGGCCCCGGCAACATTCCAGGCGACACGGGGCTAGGTAGCGACCACAGGTCGAGAGGCCTTGTATATAACATCAACACGCGCATTGGTAACGCTACACCACATTAAAACTGTTATTACAGGATAAATATTATAAAAATTAAACGTTAAAAATACTTATGTTTCTTTCTCACCTCTGTTATATGATATAAGTGTGCAAGAATAGCCATAAAGTACCTATGCTTTAATTTCTAGCTTTCTTGAGAACTGATCCATGGTAGTTGTGGAGGGATCAATCTCTCGCTCTCTCCACCAATAGTGTTGACCCAAAGGGTTTTGTAACCTTGCTCTTTCTTTTTATCAATGATCTACTTCACACTACGACTAAAGCTATTCATTCTTACACTGGTAATTATATTCTTCACTTCACATTTATCCCCACCCCCTTAATTCTCAAGCTAAAGGTGATACCATTTTGTCAATCAATGCTGTTCTTTGCAGCATCTCTGAATGGGAAGGTAGAAATAAAGTAAAATTCAATAGTAAACTTATTTACCAATTGCACATTGCAAACTAGACAGTCTCCCACCAATCGCATTTCTGGACGCAATCATTGTGCCAAATTCTGTAATAGTTATGCTAGGTCTTCCCATTTCCTTATGTCATGAAAGCCACACATCCACGACAAAGCTGCCACCCGAATGCTGTAGTAGCTACCTCACTCCTGAGTAGTTGCTTCAAGTTTATAAGGGATTCATTCGTCTTAACTTCTCATATCTGGGGTAGCTCTTCTGTCCAACTGTTAGGGTGGAATGGAGGCATTTCGTCTGACTGACTACTCCTTTAGTTGATAATCTTTCTTCCCTTACTCTCCGCTGCAATGTTGCTTCACAATCTTTTACAGGTATTTTAACTGGCAATGTTCGGTGGATTTGGCATCCTGAATACCGCCGGCAAGGCCAGGCACGTAACGCTCGTCTTGCCCACGGTGCCCACCATTTCTCTGGATGTCCGTCACATTAGAATAACCCATTGTAGTACACCCTTCTTTCCTCACACAGCAAAACTGTGGAATGCTCTGCCTTCTGTGTTAAAAGACTAGTACAGTCTGTCAACCTTTAAAATGCCGGTTTTCCGTCATCGTGGTCGATGACCTGTGCCAGGGTGGGCTATCACCCCCACCCCACCCCCAAAAAAAAAACTAAGTGACTAGTTTTCCACTTAAAAAAAAAAACCTACCACAAATAAGCAATTAAGACTTAAGTATTTGTTTTGGCGACATTCAATCTAGATAATTTGTGCTTTTGGTCCCAAGTTCTTGAACACTGCTGGCCCTATGAAGTGCTGCCTTTTAGTAAAACTACTGCTTGGAATAGTTTTGCACAACCTAGTTCTGCACAATACTATTTGACCTATTTCATTACTCAAAACGTAGACTATATTCCTATCTTGTAGGAAACTTCGTCCCATTCTTATCTGGATTCTACAGTTCACATCAAGTTTTCGGCTTCGAAGAGCTTGCATCGTAAAACTGCAATTTACTTGTACAATGCAAGCCCTCCAGACACGGTAGACATTTGGTCCCTCCCCTTTCGGGAGTGACAACTTGTCCTCGTTCTATTTCAGTATTTACTACATTTGTCCTATTATATATTGGTAACGGTATCCGTGTGAATCTACTCCATTTAGACAGCGCAATACTGTCTCGGTGGCGACAAAGTAGGACTACTGTTGAACCAAATACGAAGCTACTATAACACACGAGAATTCAACTCTCGAAACGTCTGGATAAATATGAGTATTTAATACAAAACGGTTATAACAGCTTTCTTCTCAGTGCTGTACCTTTTGTAATTCATTTTAAAACTCTGGCACATGATTATGAATACAGGTGTATAATATGCCCGATCTAGCTCCTTAGTGGTTTATGTGCTCACGCTACGTCGCATCCTCCCTAAAAAGTGTCGTGTTCATATCCCAGCACTGTACGTTAATTTATGGTGTGCGAATTGGCGTGAAGATTCGACTTCTACATCTAACGAAACTCGGAACTTGTTAGTTAATACAGCTCTTTGGGGGTGCTGGTGATAGTGGTACCGCTCTTGCCTTCGCAAGCGAGATGTCACGGGTTCGATTCCCGGGCCGGTGGAAGTTGTTTGGACATACTTCCTAGCCCCCCATTAGTCCCTGTTCACCTAGCAGTAAAGTTGGTACCTGTTGTAAATCGAAAGTTGCGAATTCATATTCAGGGAAAGTTGTTGGAGCTTCCAATAACTTGATGACATAAACCACTGACTCTTCAGGCTTCTACGCCCTTAACTCATGAGACATAAAGGCAAGCATGAACTTAGCATGCTTCCCTGCTGGGCGCTGTAAACGCTTCTGCGCTTCACCTTACACAAAGATGTAGGGGAGTGCCCAATAAAACAAAAAAATACAGCTCTTTGAAATCTTAGATACGAACTTATTCCACAGCCTCTCGCGTGATGTTCTGAAGTGAAAAGTTGCTTTTAATGCCTGCTTTAACTAAGCATGAGAATAATTGGGACAAAAAGTGATGGATAAAACAAAGTGATCTTAAGATTATTTACGAATGGATTTATATGGGTGGCAGATGTCATTCATTATTTTACGAGCTTTTGTACCCATTATAAAATGCAATGTAATTTTTGACATCCTTAAAAATCAGTAATGCTGCATTGGCAATCCCAACCCGGCATGTGCTACAAAGATAGCTTGGGAAGGAGTGACTTGAGGCAACACTTGGAATGATATTGGCTCTGCTCGCGCTCCCATAGTAAATCTGCACTGACGGACTGGGATAGGCGTTTCATATGCTTCTTAAAACTCCAAAAATACAGCTGGGGAACTATCAACTTACTTTTCGAGCTTGACTGCAGGAGAATTATTAATACCTTTGTGCATAATTAATATAGGTCGCTATTTGATTTAAACTCTCTTACTTAAGATTTGTGCTACTTTGTTGTTTGTTATCTGCATTAATATTAACCCATTATATGTAAAATCTTATGATTATTACTGGTTACAGCATTTGTTTAATTTAAAAAGCTATGGCATTAAGATAAGCCCCGAGACAACTCCAACACTGTCAACACACAAATCATCTCGGAGAAAAATCAACTTAAAATACTGCGTTGAATGTATTCCTGATAAGGCAATTGATTTCCGATTAGTTTCTACCTTTGTATATCACAGAGTGAATGATTGCCCTCCCTCTAGGCATTGCTCTACTCCTATCTCGCCACCAAGATACACAGATGGGAGGTGACGGGTGCTGCCCCCTTCCCTTATTTATTTTGCCGCTTACAGCGGCTACTTTATTGTGCACCCACACTCATCCTGTGAGCGGTAGCGCAAAAGGATTACTGAGTAGAGTTTACAAAGGGTCATAATAATTAACCCCCGTTGTCAGGATATTATGGCACTGAATGTTACACAGTATTTCATTTACATTATTTGTTTAGTTTTATACATAAAGGGTAACTTATTCACAAATGCGTGAGTACAGGCGTGTGAGGCAGTATGTCTGGCCTCACACTTTGTTATTCACATTTACGTGAGAGGTATTCAAGCACATTGCGTATTTGGTTCTGTACATGAGAACTGATATAGTTACTAAGTGCAAAAAAGTGGATACAATCTTAATATGTGGGCTATCTTGCCATTAGAGATGAAGTGTTGTGCCATTTCACACACAGTGTGCTTGGACCTGTCCCTAAAAGGTTCTATCTTCACACAGTCGAGGACGTAGTGTTCAAGTGTGTGGCCATATGTATGGCCACACACTTTACATTTAGTTTTGTTTACATCTGGTTGAGGAACATACTGCCATAGGTACTTATATCCTAACCTTAATCTAGCGGTTACAACATCTTGTAATCTAGTGATCTTGTTACTTGCTCCATATACATGTTTCACTTGATACATCTCATCATGGTAACCTATGGATCGACTAGTGCCTGTTTGCACTAGTCTACTTGCGTCAAACTCATCAATAAGTTCTTTCCTAATTACAGTTTTAAGGGTAGACCCAAATTGTATTCAACGGTGTCTTTGTTAAACGCGAGTTTGGCGAGGGCATCAACTCTGTCATGTTTAATGAGGCCTATGTGAGAGGGGATCCACAACAGTTTGACCTTGACACCCCGGTCAACAAGGCACACATATTTGTGTCTGGCTTCAGAGACAAGAGCGTGACAACCTGAGTCGAGGGTGCCAAGGGCAAGTAGTGAGGATAGAGAGTCAGTGATGATGAGACTGTCAGTAACAGTGGTTTCAATGAATTTAATAGCTGTGAGTATGGCAACTAATTCAGTTTGTAGAGTGGATGCCCAGTTGTTAATTCTAACTCCTCTCTCAATTATATTACCGTCAGGTTGAGTCACAACACTAGCACTTCCAGCCGTCCCACAGGCGGTGTTAAGAGATCCATCAGTGTAGATGGTCTGTGATATTATCATCAGTCTGTAGAGTGTGTATGTGTTCAAGAGCTCTCAATTTGGCAGTGTGTCCCTTCCCTACCAATTGTCTAGGGAGGGAGGGATATTTATCTACTCTTTGGTTGAGACACTGGAAAGGCGGGGAGAGTTCTCTCTCTCTCCTAACGACCCTCAGGAGCGTCTTCTGCTCTGCTAACCCCCATATCCCCTCATCTCTGGCACTACTCAACAGGGGAAAGGGAGGGGCGTCTGCTCACCCCGGGCACTACTCTTCGTGGGGCAGCAAAGGAAGCCAAATCACAACGATAATGAGGTTATCTGCGTCTGGACTCAAGTGAAGTATTGTCCCTCAACCCCCAGACCAGTTACCCTCCTCCCTCCCTGGGCCGGGTATCCGTTCCCGGTGCGCGCACCCACACACTACTGACTACGTATACTCTGCTGCGTATACATACACCATACGACTACGGTAGTACAAATCGAAGTACACACGCAAAACACTCTTACATACACACACACACAGCAGTTGTATATTTTCTGCTTACGACTTGCGGTTATCAATAAACCATTAATTATTTATCATTATTATTAAACTGAATGCACTTCGGTAATCGAGTGTAGCTTGGTCTGAATTAGTGCCGGTATATAGTGGTATTGTACATATGAATACTGCCTGCAATTATATTTTACCTTGATACAATGACTACAGATATACT